AAACTCAAAAACCTCAAAGCCCAGTTAGGATTGTATGGGAGAATGCTGTCCTTCGCATAGTCTCTGGGATCTCGGTAGTAGCAAATGAACAAGCACAGATGGCAGTGAAGAATCATCTGGTCTCAGACCTTGCTTGGTAGCGGCATATTCTAAGTTTAAAAACCACAGGAAGACATTTGTCTAAACTTGCTCCAAAAAAAAAACAAAAAAAAAAAACAAGGCTCCTTAGTCTCTCTCCATTGCTTGTATAGACATCAAATGCCCCTTAATGTTTAAGCTTAAATCTATATTTCTATGATTTAATTATTAGCTGTTGGTGAGTATCTTGTTGCTAAACACATCTAGAGAGCAGACACATTGAATTGATAGCTGAATGGTAATTCAATACTTGTGTAAATTTCATTGAGTCAGTGGGTCTACACTAGTTCGGAATAGTGACAAAATGCCACAGGAGTACTTGGGGAAGAGTGTGGATTTTTACAGTTACACAGTGCTCTGTTGTCATATTTTACAAAAAAAAAAAAAAAGACTATGCATGTTTACTCAGAAGAGCAACCTGACAGCATGTTAAGAAAAAAAGAGTATGCTTAAAGCCAGGTTTTAATCGCAAAGGCTCTGATGAAATGAAAATGCTCAGGCCAGAATGCTGGAATAGGCTTTCAAAGCAACAGAATTCCTCACAACACATTCAAAACTGTGAGACGTGTCCTTTGTGATGAAATTAATCCCACTGGTTCCGATGGGATTTAAATGGTCTTTGTTTGGAACATGCTTTTCTTTTGATGTGGAACACAGCAGAAAGGCCCTCCAGAGGCTCTCCTCCTCCTCCTAAGGAAACCTGCTATGCTTTCCTTAACAGCTGTTGTGTTTTTGCGTTGTCTGGTTTGCTCTGCATTCCCAAAACAGATGAGGATCAGGGTGTGATTTAGTGGCAGGCAATCCTGGTGACTGTCTGAGACTCCAGTCATGAGAGAGGCTGCTGGGCCCTGAATAGGCCAGTCATGGGTTGTTTACTTAGCAGCTGAAATCAATAGGACAGCCAGCTGATATGGTCTATGAACAAACACAAATGAACAGATCAAGGATTTAGGGATAAATTCTGACTGCAAGTCATGTACCAGAGTTATGAAATGGTCCACAGATGTCGTTGTTGTCATCTAGTCATTTAGTCGTGTCCAAATCTTCGTGACCCCATGGACCAGAGCACGCCAGGCCCTCCTATCTTCCTCTGCCTCCCGGAGTTGTGTCAATTTCATGTTGGTTGCTTCGCAGACACTGTCCAGCCATCTCATCCTCTGTCGTCCCCTTCTCCTCTTGCCGTCACACTTTCCTAGCATCAAGGTCTTTTCCAAGGAGTCTTCTCTTCTCATGAGATGGCCAAAGTACTGGAGCCTCAGCTTCAGGATCTGTCCTTCCAGTGAACACTCAGGGTTGATTTCCTTTAGAATTGATAGGTTTGTTCTCCTTGCAGTCCAGGGGACTCTCAAGAGCCTCCTCCAGCATCACAATTCAAAGGCATCAATTCTTCGGCGGTCTGCTTTCTTTATGGTCCAGCTCTCACTTCCATACATCACGACAGGAAAAACCATAGCTTTGACTATTCGGACTTTTGTTGGCAAGGTGATGTCTCTGCTTTTTAAGACTCTGTCAAGGTTTGTCATCGCTTTCCTTCCAAGAAGCAGGCGTCTTTTAATTTCGTGGCTGCTGTCTCCATCTGCAGTGATCATGGAACCCAAGAAAGTAAAGTCTGTCATTGCATCCATATCTTCCCCTTCTATTTGCCAGGAGGTGATGGGACCAGTGGCCATGATCTTAGTTTTTTTGATATTGAGTTTCAGGCCGTTTTTTGCACTCTCTTCTTTCACCCTCATTACAAGGTTCTTTAATTCCTCCTCACTTTCTGCCATCAGAGTGGTATCATCTGCATATCGGAGGTTGTTGATATTTCTTCCGGCAATCTTAATTCCGGCTTGGGTTTCTTCCAGTCCAGCCTTCCGCATGATGTATTCTGCATATAAGTTAAATAAGCTGGGGGACAATATACAGCCTTGCCGTACTCCTTTCCCAATTTTGAACCAATCAGTTGTTCCATGACCAGTTCTAACTGTTGCTTCCTGTCCCACATATAGGTTTCTCAGGAGACAGATAAAGTGGTCAGGCACTCACACACACATAAGGTTCTAGTCGAGGATGTTCCACAGATGTACTAAAATGTTATTCAAATATTGAAACAAAGTGAGAGGGTTCTAAGGATGCTTACCTTCCCAGGCACCATTTTGATTGCAGCTAATCCACATAGGCCCATTAATCTCAAGCATGCATGACACAGCTATGGTACCCTTGCATTATCCCCCACATGTGTTATTCCCAGTCTTCCATAATAGGAAGTTCTTCTTCTTCTTCTTCTTCTTCTTCTTCTTCTTCTTCTTCTTCTTCTTCTTCTTCTTCTTCTTCTTCTAGCACTTAGTCTCTAAGGTGCCACCATGTTTTGGTCTTAATTTTTTCATTTTTGTTTTGTTTTTGTCTGAAATTCTGTTTTCACTGAAAAAAATATTGCAAAGATTGGATTTAATGGTTGCTGTTTTTACGTAAGGTCTTTTAGGGAAACTTCTCAAAACCCTGCTGTAACCTAGGTTTTCTCCAAGCTGAGTGCTGAAGTTTAACGGACTGTGTCAGAACCAACCATTAGGCAGCCAGAAAGGGTTTTGTAAAGAAAAAAAATGTTTTCTGAATTATCTCCTTGGTGAGAATGAGATGCATTCTTTGAATATGTCATTTAGCTTTGCATTTTTCTGATTAAAAAGCAATTACAGCTTGAAGGCAGTGGTACTTTGACTCTGGATGGCTCTACGCAATCACTGGGATGAGAAATGCAAATACATTTGGTGCACTTTGTCTCAGGGCCGCATTTCCTTAATGCTTCTCTCCAGTTTTGTATGTGATGAAAATGTGCATCACCTACACAGTTAATTTGTTGCTACTGCGATTTGCATGATTGCTACTGCAGCACATCTAATGCACTAAGACCAGGGTGAGAGAAATGTCATAGGTATCTGTTGGATATTCCCCGTGGTGGAAACCAGAGAGGTGTGTGGTGCTGAATACCAGTGTTATATCATGCATAGACTGTCAGGGCTGGACCTGAACACCTCTGTTGGAACCCCTGTTTCCATCACAAAACTCAGTGGGTGACCTTGAGCCTTTTTTCTTGTTTGTCTCATCTGCCTCTGAGGAATTGTTGCAAGGATGAAACGGAGGAGAAAAATCCCTTGAATGGTGCCCTGAGCTTTTTGGATGAAGGACAGGTTATAAATTAATTATGAATGACATCATAGTAGCCCTCAGTCATCTCTAATGTTCTTAAAATAGTGGTGCTCGTGCCACAGCATGACTCTACTGTTTAAAACAAAAATCAATTTGGATTTGTTATTCTTAATCTAAAACCTAACTGTAAGATAGTTTACCTATGTAGTGAATCCCAGAATTTCAGCCTGGTTATCTCAGGTCGCTGATACTTTCAGGTCAATATATCATTTCTTACCCCCCACTGTGCTGTTCCATGCTAATAGCATGTAAAAGAGAGAAAACCCTTTTTTTCTGCATGGGTCATATGACCGCAATGAGTGTAAATTTAACAGAGAAAATTAAAAGATCAATTGCAACTGTTCTTGTTTTTAATTCCTTTGGATTGTCCTCCTTGAGGGCTCAAACAAACTAACAGTTAAAGAATCGTACGTATTGAAGGTTAAATCCAATTAGTAGATCTAAAAGGTACTGAATGGATGGGACTTGTTGCTGTTCCATTGATTCAGTGGATCTTTTCTCTTTGGGACTACAGAATGGATTTTATCACGGAGAATTTATCTTATGGCAGATGGTTCATCTAAAACAAAAGTATATGCACATGTTTTGACTGATATAGCTTGAATTAAACAGGAAAACACTAGGGCCTTTTAGGAAAGTATAAGAAAATGTATGACACTTTTGGATAGGCACTACTGAAATATGCAACACGTCACCCTGAGCAGGAGGTCTCCATATTTTCTTTTTGATAATTAGATTCAAGAGCAATAAATGTCTGCCATGTTCTTGAATACTGGACTCCACCAGTAATTGAAGATATCTGCCATTCTAACATTTTGTAGGTCTGTAGTCTAAAGTATATGAAACTCCATGGCTGCTTCCACCTCTTTTCAAGAGATAGCCGTGTCTGTCTGTTTTGGCATGTTATCACAAAAGAACTCCCATACAGACACAACAACAATGTGTATAGTGGCATTTTAAAGACATGTGTTGGAGGAAGTGGTGCATAATCCATGGAAGGTTACACAGAACTAAATCTGCTAATCTTAAAGGTGCTTCTCTTTTTTATGATCCTTTCTGCTATTTTGCAATTCATACTTTGTGTCTTTAAGAGTCATTGAAGTTGTGAATGAGTAATTTATTTGGGGCTGGGAGAACCCTGTAAATATAGTGGCTAGAAAGTCTTTTTGTGTGGTCCATATATTTAACCATCCATTGCACACACAATTGGTGTTCTCCCCCCCCCCCACACACACAGAGGCTTGTGCAGGGAGGCATCTAACACCTACCGGCATGAACGTGAGTTCCATTCATTACACAAGGTGGATATCCAGTTTGCATAACAAGCTAGCAATCACACAGAGCAACATGGATGGAGGAAGCACCACGTTCTAGCAATGCTACAAGGATATTGACCATCACAGCTTCCCCCTTCCCTCCGTAGTTCTAATCAATTAATTTTTATAGAAAGGGAAAAGTAAACATCGACCTAAATGGACCTCTATCTTATAGCTGCATATATCACAGTAGCAACTCATAAAAGCATATTCGGTTTGCATTTGAATGCATAACTTTTATGTAAGAGTTCTTGGAAAACCAGGCTGTCGTGGCAGCTGATGGAGAAAAATGAAACCCTCAAGAAGCAAAAGCTGTAACAAGAGAGTGTAAGATGGTTTCATTGGGTTTTTTTTTTCCAGGTCATCCTCGTTTTTTCAACCAGCTTTCTACAGGGCTTGATATCATTGGCTTGGCTGGGGAATGGCTGACCTCTACGGCGAATACGAACATGTGAGCATTCCTTTTGCAATCTTCTCTGTTAGTCGTGTCAAAGCAAGAACGGGCTGCACATGTGTGGTGGGGAAGAGAGTGGGCAAAAATACCTCTGCAGGCTCTGTCACCTCCAATGGACTTGGATGGAAGGAAGTGATAAGGGAGGCAGCAAGAGGAGTGGATGCAAAGTTTTTGCAGCATTGTTTGCCGCCGGCCAGATCAGAGACGGAACACAATTTCCCGAGCAATGCAAACAGGGCTGGCCTGATGGGTTGTCCTGCTCAGGGTGAATGTGAGCCTTTCTCCATTCTTGGTACAGAGCTGGACTGGCTGCTGAATTTTACTTCAGTAGCCCATTTTGCTGGCAATGGCATAGCTTATTCCACTTCAGTGGAGGAAGCCCAGGGCAGGCTGTGTGGCCTGCACTGCTCTGTCCTCCCACTGCAGGGAACAGCGGGGAGATCTCAAAAAACAACAACACCTCTTGAACATGGGACTGGGGAAGGTGTCATCTATACCTCAAATGGCAACTGCTGTTCTCCCTCACCTGGTGTCTCCCACCTGATACAACTACTGAGCAAACGGTAGGGCCTGTCCTGAGTGCATGCTTTCAGAGATGGTGATTGTTATTTCAAAAGAGCAGAAGACAAGCTTTTGTTCCTGCGAACCTCCTTCGAGCTAAAAAAAAAAGTGGTTTGACTGTGCCAAGAAAAATAGAGACACAAGACAAATTGGTTGGCTTAGCCATGGTCATTTTCTTCCTCTTGGGGCTGTTCTCAGCTCTGAGTAGACGGAAGGATAATTAGAGGTGTGGAGGCTTACAGACAGATTCATCAGAAGTCTAACGTTTATGGCACAGTGCTGTGAAGGGAAAGGAAGAAGGCTGTAGGACAAGCCTCTCCTTAGGTGCCTCGGAGATGCTGGAGAGAGTGAGGTTAGAGGAGAAAAACCCACAGAGATCATGATCTACAAGCCCAGAGGTGTTTCCAGGTTTGTTTGTTTTTAAATTGTGCCATCTGCCTGCCTCATTCATAGAACATGGCAGATGGCCTGTATGTACAGTGATATTTTCAACATGTACCTGCTCTGTGTTTTCCTCCTTTTTTATTTTTTTATTTTTGGCTATGTGGATAAGTATATTAGGGAGGAAAGAGACGGAATAGATGGACAATCAGTTTTGATCAGGAGCAGTAAACCACCTTTGCCTCAAAGACCCTATGAAGAGTTTGAATCGATGAAACTCGTTATCAGCACAATAGGTGATGCCTGCATTTCGTACACTTTAGGAAGGACAGCCTAAGTACTTCAGCTGCTTCAGATTTGCATCTGGGGAGGAAGAGGTGATCCACCTCTGGCAGCTGCTCATGAGGGACCATTAAAGGGGCCCATTTCACACATTTACAGTGAGGACTGCCTGCTTAAGCAAATGGTCTGTAATTATTAGCATGTGCTCCCATCTGTTCAGGTACTCAGGGTTTACTTCCTTCCACCCACCTCCAGTTACCTTGTTTACAATTAAATCAGTTCTCTTGGTTGCAATCTCTTTTTCAAATTCTCACTTCAGTTCTTTAGTTATTTGAGAGTATGTGGCCTAATAATTTTAAAAACACAAACCCATTATGCATGTGTTTACAGTGAATCACTTCAATCCTGCTTCTTCTCTAACAAGCCCCAAGCAGCATAGAACAAATAAATATACGAAAACCACCCTTCCTAGCATAAAGCACAAAGCACAAACAGGTTATATCATTATACTTTTATTGATGATGCTTATAGACCAATCAGAAGGCAGCAAGAGAGAATACAAAGACACTGCTATGCTTAAAGACAAAACAGATAAACGACTGGCTAAAACAGAAAGCATAATTACCCACTGAAAACTTTCCTGAAAGGGAAGGTTATCACCAGCTTCTGAAAACATGTTGGTGAGCACATGAGCTATGCCTGTAGCAGAAGGGAATTCCACTTCAATTTCCAGACTATCCTTCCCTTCAGAAAGGAAAGTTTCCCTGGGCTGAGTTCTAGTTGCTTTGCTACATGTGTGTGGAAGGCAAATGATGGCATTACATCCCATGGTTTCTAGCTGGTGATGAATGAATAACGACTGGAATCTTTAGGAATGTGTGTACCTGCTGGCTTGCGGTGTATCTGCCAGCTGGCTTGAGGTGTGCTCAGGAATTCCGGTGAGGACTCATTCATGGCCAGCCAGAAGCCACTGAATGTTATCCTGTTTATGTCTGCATGCATAACAAAGCAACTCAACTTCATCCAGGAAAGTGCAACTCCTCCACGGAGACTTGAGCCTTCCAAAGGAGTTTATGTAAAAAAAAATTGCCCTTGATAGAATGGATTTTAAGCATTTTTAAAAATTCCCCATTACCACAAAAAGTATGTGAGATGCCCCTTTCTCTCACTGATGTACCATGGATTAGAAACCACTATATGGAAAAAGAGAATGACATAGTGCTCTTACTGACAGGCTTTAAAACAGGCGAAAAGAGAACAGAGTGCCGGTGGGGGCAGATGACACTTTAGGCAATGCTGGATTTCACAGATTCATGCAATGCCATTATTATTATTGGGTGTTGACATGCTACATTGTGGGGGAAGAGTTAAAAGCCAGTTCAAGGTGATAGTTGGTGTTTGTCCAGTGACAAAAATGGCCATTTCCCCAGGAATAGGAGGCAGGGTGAGTGTTAGACGAGCCTGGGAGCAATTTGAAATTGTGTATTGATTTGCATGCACTTTAGAAAGTGTGACAGCCTAGGAGCAGCCCAAATGGTCATCCCTGCTGAGTGGGTGGAAATGGCTGGAAGTCTCACCCTGTAGAAGAGCCAGTTAATTGTGGGTACGGTGCCAGCAAAGCAAGGCGTCATCTCCGCTGCAGATCCACAAGGGAAGGTCCTCCTGATGCTTGAAACGTGGCCCATGGGCAATGCTCTGCTGAGCAGGGCACACTTACGAGTGCAGTGGCCTGCCATATCTGTTCCTGCCATGCACATAGCATCAGAGAGCCCTACACATTTGACTTATCAAAAAACACTATAGGGGAAAAGTCACCGTCATCAGCGTCATTTATATATAATGCATCACTCCTCGTATTGATTTCTTTCCCATCCAAAGTTGCTGTTCAAAGCCACAAAGCAACATTTTTTAAAAAAAGCTAGAAAAGACTTGCACTTTTATTGGTAAAAGGGCTGGTCCAAGATATTATGCTGCTGGAGGCAGAGCAACATATGGCAACTTCCCTCTGTTCGGTCAGGTCAAGATGCTTTGGGTCCAAAGTCAATCACATTATTTTGGGCCAAGAGGCCAACCCTTCCCCCATAAAAATCTTTTTTATCCCCAGGAATAAAGTACAACAAGACTAAATAACCTTGTGCTGCCTTTTCATGATGTCCCAAACCTGCTGCCTGAGGTGGCTGCCTCAAGGCATGACTACATTGGCAAAGTTATTTGGCTTTGTGTCAGCTTGATTCACAATCTCTTTTGCAACTGCATTCAGTTTAGGTGGCCAGACAAAGGCCCCAGGTTGTTTGGTGCCAGGGTCCGTACTGGCCCCTCAATCTGATGTGATTCGATTGAGGGGCCTCCCATCATTCATTATTGCCCTCCTGCCAATCTCTGGCTCTCTTTTTATAGTCTGCCCTCAAATTACTAGGGATTGTTTAAACAGTTGCATGGCATGAGGAGAAAGGATCAGTTTCTTAATATTCTCCATATACATATAAACGTACGTACGTACCCCGGAAACACTGTACTCTGGTGGAGTTCATCAGAGTTGTCTTAATATTATATTGATTTTTATGGGGGGTTTCCTCTCTTTCCGGGCAGAGGTTATCTAAGGCCAAACTAATGTAGCAACCCAGTGCTAAGGAGGTCTAGCAGTAGACTCAATAGTTACTTTGTTTTTTAAATAATTAAAAATACTTTGGGGCTACTAGGGAGAAAGATTATGGGGTTGGATGTTACCTTTTCTCCCCCACCCCCAAATCACACTCCAGCTGACTACATCACCAGAAATTCACCCGAAGTCATGCATCCTAGTCCTTTTGTAGAATTAAACAGGTGAGTTAACAAAGGCAAAACACAGTTCAAATTGTTGTGGTTTGAAAAAAGTAGACACCCTCAGTGTCAGGGGAAAGGGGAAAAAAGATAGGCTGATTTGCATTGACCTTTGTGCCATGTAATATTTGAAAATGCTTTGCATGTATCCATGCCAGTTCCAGAGCAAATTGTGAGGTATTTTCCAATGTCGTTGTGTGCTCACCCTGCCTTACGATAGATCTGGGTTGATCGTGGGTTGCACCCAAAATGGCTTTAAAAGCATTATATGAGAAACACAGTCCAGAAAATTATAAACACTTTATATCTCATTGGTCTTAAAAACGGATGAGATGCCCCACTATTAAGGAGAGTGAGATGGGTAGTTTGAGCTGTCATAAAAGGGCAGTAAACTGCAAGTTATTTACTCGATGGTCGAAATCCTGTTATTTAGGGTAGCAAATTGCAGACAGAGTAGGCCCATTGAATCAGTGGGGATTTGTTGAGTGAACTCCTCCATAAATTCCATTGATTAAAATTGGCCTACTCTAGTTGCAATTTAAGATGCAAGGTAACAGGATTTCAGCCGTTGTGAAAATTTCCCCAGAGGCCACTGGCTTAGTTTGTTGCTACAAAAACAACAAGGAATCTTGGAGTACTTCTGAGACTAACAAGTTGTGCTTGGCATGAGTTTTTGTGAGCATAGCTCATTTCTTGAGGTGAAGGGAGTACAATATTCAGGCCACATGTTTGTACACACACTGTGGAGAAGAGGAATAAGACAGAATGAAATGAGATATAGAAAAAGACAAGTGTGACACAGTTCAGTGACAGGTGCCAATTCTTCCATGATGTTCAAGAAGAACAATATGGCATTCTCAGTGTTCTGGGGAAATCAAAATGACAGCTGCTAGGAGATGTCATGATGGCTCCTTCCGCAGCTGAAGCGTTGCCCCAGATCAGACATGAATCCT